GGACCCAGCAGGTCGAGGCTGTGGTGGCCGGGAGCGGCCACTGCACTCCAGTCTGGACGACAGAGTGAGACTCCAGCTCAAAAAAAAAAAAACATTTAGGACCAGGCCTGACTCAGAGTCACTGCCGGGCCAGTGGAGCCAGTCTCAGGCTTCTTCTCCCTACTCACCTGGGCTACTCTCCTCACCCTGAAGCAGCTGGCTTGTCCCTGACCCTGGCCTTAGCCGGCTACAGGAAAGGTCATCAGGGAGATATCAGGGCCAGAATTTGCACAAAGGAGCCGGTGCTGGCAGGCTCAGAAAGGAACCGCAGCCGGAAGTCTGCCTTTCCAGGGCCTGACTTGGCTGCAGGCTCCCGCCAGGCCACCAGGAGGTGCAGGGAGCCCAGCCGTGGGTCTGGGGTAGGCCCCGGTCCCACTGTCTGCGGGACAAGGGTGGCCCAGCCTGCCCCTCTTGCCCAGCAGGCTCAGCTCCTCACAGCATGTGGGAAAAGGACGCGCCCTCTGAGCCTGTTCTAGAAAACCCTATCTTGGGGGGAGGAACTGCTGCTCAGAATAACTGTGTCTCCTCACTGAGCTCTGGCGGCTCCTACAAAGCAGAGGTGGGATTTGAACCCATACCCTTATGATGGCTGAGCCCAAGCACCCCTCCACTCCAGCCTGCTCGCTGCCCACTTCTGCAGGCATCCTGTGTCTGTGTCCACTCAGCCCTACCTGGCAGTGCTGCTCTGGAGACCCCCAGCCGACCTGCCACAACCCCCTCCTGAGGCTGCCCATGGCCAACCTCCTCCTGTGGCTTGTGAGGCCCCGCCCACCCCTCCCTGGCAGTCACACTTGCTTCCTGGCGCTGCCATGGGAGTCACACCTCCACGCCTTGGCTTGCGCCCCACTGCCTGGAATAGCCTTCCTTCTCCCTCCCCTACTCCCCACCTCCTACTCGCCCTTAGCAGAGACCTCCAGGCCCCTGTCCGGAGGCTGGGGGCCCCTCCTCGGGGCTCCTGTGGTGCACGTGCACTCCTCTCAGGAGGCACTGCCCACAACACGTGGACAGATCTCTGTGTCTCCACTGAGGACAGGAACTGCGTTCCGTCGTCCTTCTACATAGTGCCTAGCACTGGGCCTGGCATAGCGAGAGACTCAGGAAAGGTCTACCCCACGCTGGGGCCAGAGGAAGCGCAGTAGCCGCGGGGTCTGCTTGGTTCCTTCCCCATCATAGGAGCCTCAGTGGGGGACTTCACTTCCTGCAACAGAAGGCATTGACACCGGTTTATTAAAATGTTTCATATGGCCAGGCGCAGTGGCTCAGCCTGTCATCCCAGCACTTTGGGAGGCCAAGGCGAGAGGATTGCCTGAGCCCAGGGGTTTGAGACCAGCCTAGGCAACTTGGCGAGGCCTCATCGCTACAATAAATTAAAAAAAAAAAATAGCCGGGCATGGTGGCTTGTGCCTGTAGTCCCAGCTACCTGGAAGGCTGAGGTGGAAGAATCGCCTGAGCCCAGCAGGTCGAGGCTGTGGTGACCGTGAGTGTGCCACTGCCCTCCAGCCTGGGCAACAGATTGAGACTCCAACTCAAAAAAAAAGTTTTACACCAAGGTTTCCAGCTCTGCCATTTTCTTTGTGTTGAAGCCTTCTCCAGTACAAACTGAAGCCATGGTACAAAACACTTTTTAAAAAACCACAAATTAAGAAGAGAACTCACGGAAACACCTACCTGATAGAGTGTCACCAACTCGGTGTCTCTGGAGTTCTGGAGTGGATGTGGACAGGGTTTTTCCCCACCCTGGCATGGCCGGGCAGTCTGGGGGTATCCCTGCTGCCCACACACTGCACCTCTTCCTTGCTCCTCTCCACAGACCTCCAAGAAACTGGTGAACTCGGTGGCAGGCTGTGCTGACGATGCCCTTGCCGGCCTGGTGGCCTGCAACCCCAACCTGCAACTCCTGCAGGGCCACCGTGTGGCGCTCCGTTCTGATCTGGACAGCCTCAAAGGCCGGGTGGCGCTGCTGTCCGGTGGGGGCTCCGGCCATGAGCCTGCCCATGCTGGTGAGAACCCTGGGGTGGGGGCAAGCGGGGACATCAACGCTGGCGTGAGGCGCAAGACAGCTCAGCTCAGAGGCAGGAACTAAGGCCTGGCTCCCATACCCTCAGGCTGTGCTCTGGGGCCAGTGATAGCCACTCTGGATCTTGGTTTCTATATCTGTAAAAGTATGAGGTCGGATCAGGCGATCTCAGGCCCTTCCAGCTCTGAGAGTCGGTGATTCTGGGCCCAGCAAACCCGCCCCCTCCTCCGTGAAGGCTTCCTGATTCTTCCAGCCTAGAGCGGTGTCCCTCCTCTGAAGTCCCACCCTGCCGTTTCCCACACATGGACAGTCCCAGGTTGTTTCCTGTTTGGAGCCAGAGATGTGAGCTCCCTTCCTGGGGGGCAGGGACCAGGTTCTGTGTCATTCATCACTTTCCACCTCCCTTCAGCCGGTCTATGCACTCACTCATGAGCGCCATGTATGCCCAGCACCGTACTGGGCACCAGGTAAAGCGCCCAGTAAAGACAGCAAAACAGGGTGAAGGACGGTGAGTCCCTGGGAACCGGGTGGGTGACTGCTTCAGGCTGGAGAGCAAGGATGCCCCTTCTGAGGTGACTCCCAAGAAAGCCTGGGGGGCTCTTCTAGTACCAGACGTACAGTAGGGCTAGCCAAGCCTTGACTCCCAGAAGCGTGGGAAGCCCCATGCCTGCCGGCCCAGCTCCCATCCAGCACCCTCAGCCCCCCCTCCCACTTCTAGGTTTCATAGGGAAGGGGATGCTAACCGGGGTCATTGCGGGAGCTGTGTTCACCTCCCCAGCGGTGGGCAGCATCCTGGCAGCCATCAGGGCTGTGGCGCAGGTGGGCACAGGTAAGCCTGGCTGCGGGAGGGATGGCAGTGGGGAGGGCACACCACAGGATGGGGAGAGGCAGGCTGTGACGGGCCCACTCGTTGCTCCTGCAGTGGGGACCCTCCTCATCGTGAAGAATTACACGGGGGACCGGCTGAACTTTGGCCTGGCCCGGGAGCAGGCGCGGGCAGAGGGCATCCCTGTGGAGATGGTGGTCATTGGAGACGACAGTGCCTTCGCCGTCCTGAAGAAGGCGGGCCGCCGGGGGCTCTGTGGCACGGTGCTCATCCACAAGGTGCGCTTGTGCCAGGCGGGCTGGCCCTTTCCCGTTTCCCTCTTGGGGTGGCACCTGGTCATGGGACCCTGCCACTCCCCTGTCCCTCCTTCA